TCTCTCGCTGTCTCTCTCTCTGTCAGATAAATAAATAAAATCTTAAAAAAAAAAAAAAAAGAAAAGAAAAGAAATTTCTGCAAAAAAAGCCGCTCCATCTGTCCTTACGGCTGCCCTAGCAAGTTAGTAAGTTCCTGCCTCCAACGTTTAAAATAAGAATAGCTCAGTCGGTTAAGCGGCTGCTTTCGGCTCAGGTCATGATCCCGGGGTCCTGGGATCAAGCCCCGCATCGGGCTCCCTGCTCAGTGGGAAGCCTGCTTCTCCCTCCCCCACTCCCCCTGTTTGTGTTCCCTCTCTCGCTGTGTCTCTCTCTGTCAAATAAATAAATAAAATCTTGAAATAAAGAAAAACAGAGAGAAAGAAATTAAAAAAAAGAAAAGAAAAGAAAAACGCAGAGAGACACACACACATACACCACGTTCACAACTGCACAGACTCTCTGGAACAATATCCACATCGGGAAAGAGACCATTACTTTTTATTAAAGTACTCTTTGTGCTATTTATTTTTGCTTTCTTAAACTATTCCGAAGTTTTACTTTTTCAACTAAAAGAGGTATTTTTACAAAACGAGGATGGCAGTGGGCCACAGAGCAAGCTAAGCTGTTGCTGATCGCGCCCTCCGCGCCCCTTCCGTTCCCTCCTCCTCCCGCTCTCTCCACGTCGCCCAGCTCCTGGCCCTGTGACCGCGGCCCCCGGAGTTCCCCTGAACCCAGCTGCCAGGCAGGCCCTTGCGCACAGGAGGTGCTCAACATGCCCTGCTGGGGACACGCAGCCCCGGCTGACTCCAATAGCTCATGCCAACTGCTGCCCAGCAACGCGGCCTGACCACACGGTGTTGAGGGCCGCAGGCTCCTACCAGGGGCGCCATCACATGCTGAAGAGCGGCCGCCGTGGGCCAGACGTTGTGTGGGCGTGCTGCAAGCTTCGTGTCACTAAACTCCTGCCGTTGCGTTCCCGTGAGGCAGGCACCAGAGCCATTCCTACTGTACAGATGGGTCTACTCCCATTGTTTAACTCTGTTTTGGCAAAATCCCCATTTTTGCCTCATTTGACAATAAAGATCAGGTCCTATATTTGCATCGCATCACACAATTTTTTTACAGCCGTTTATATCTCAACTGATCTTCAAAGGCCACACAGAGAGACAATGACCTGTCCCAGGACACGAGGCAATGTATGCCAGAGCTGGGACTTCTGCAGAACCACACAGAACAGGCCACAGTCAAGACAGTACCGATCAACCTTTTCATTTTGAGGCCTTTATTTTTTAGCAGCGGCAAGTGGGGAGTGGAGGATGGCAGACCAAAAGATTTCTGGGGCTACCAGAGTAAAGCCAAACCCCCAGGCAAATACACAAGAAAGATCACCGCAAGCAAGGGAGGTGTGGACCCATGTGGGCCCATGGAGGTCACAGGCGGGAGCACAGAGAGCAGGCTGATCAGTACCTTTCGTTCCCAGCACACGGCCACTCTGCAGTAGTGGATGAAGTCCAACACAGCCACCGCCCCCAGGCCCAGGCTCAGCAGCACACTGAGGTCGTCCACTAGCAGCACTGGGCACCTCCACGCGGCCTGTCCGTCATCCACGGGCTTCAGAGCCTCTCGGACAAACTCATACAGGGGCTGCAGGTTCCCAGCATCGGCCTCCCTGGAACATCAAGCAAGGGTCACCAGAGAGTTCATTCTCTCTACAAATGTTTATCCGGGACTGAGCAGCACCACAGGAAAGGGCTGGGGGTGAGGGTGGGGGGCAAAGAACTGGATCACAGGCCTTGGCCTAAGGGGCTCCTGATCTGGTTGGAAAGAAAAGGCATGCATTCATACATGAGCAAGTTGTACTTCAAACACTCCTTGAGGCCTAAGAGGTACAAAGCACTGTGCTAGAAACTGGGGGACACAAAAATAAACAGGCTCTCGGACCCTCAAGAGACACCATGCAGCCCCTCCTCCTAAGAGCTTAAGGCATCGAAGATTAATCTGGATTGGGCAGGCAGGAGAAGCCTTCCCGGGAGGTCATCATGGGGACAAAAAGCTAAACAGCAATTCAGGTAACCTAGCGGTGAGGGACGAAGGTCTAAGGGCTGTTTGTGTACCTAACAGATTCCACCTGTTTCTGAACAAGTTGGCCCAGCTACCTCCGCCTCCCCAATGACTACCCTTGGCAGTCACTTCCCAGCAACAGAGGCTCAAAAAGCACCCGAGCAAAGGGTCTCAGCATGTGCCCATGCTCCAGGTCCAAGCCCCGCTAACAGCAAGGACAACCTCCCCCAACCCGGGGGTGAGGTGTATCCAGGCCCATCATTCAGACGAAGACAGCTGGGTTCAGAGATGGTAAAGGTTGTGTGCGAGATCACATGCATAGGGTCAGGGCACGGGGCCTTCTGACCATACTGCTTTCCATCCACCGCATCAGGCTGAGTCTGAGAGAGGGGGCGGCAGGGAGAGCTCCCGTAGGGACTCCTTCATGGTGGAGGAAGAAGAGCACCCAGGTTGGGAGTCTGCACAGTTATGTTTGTGGCTGGCACTCATAAAGGACAAGAAACAGGAAAACCAATCTCAGAATAGCAAACCCAGGAGTTGATGGACTTTTTCTTAAAGAGCAACAGTAATATTTTAGGCTTGTGCGTTCTATGATCTCTGTCTCAACTACTCAACTCTGCCGTTGGGAGTGCAAAACAGCCAGGAACAATATGCAAACAAATGAATGCAGCTATTCTAATAAAACTTTATTTACAAAAACAGGTAGCTGGCCCACGGGCCATACTTTGCTGAGCCCTGTATCGAGCCAAAAACAGAACAAAGGTGTGTGCAAGGGCTCTGAGCCAGGGTTGGAAAAAACACCGTTCTGCCATACTCCCAGCAAATAATGCTTTCTGTAGCCTTTGGGTCATCCATACGCCCTCTGGCCCATGATTAAGAGCCAAGGGCTTTTTGATGAAGCCACAACACCAGCGAAGCGTCTGCCTCCTGAAGCCAGCTCTGTCCCCCCACGTGCCACACACCAGGGAGAAGGAATCACAGGGCAAGCCTGGTCTGGGCCTCCCCACCCCATGGGTACTTCTGGGCGGGGCTGCGGGCTGACTGACCTGAGGAACTGCAGGGGGTGTGGCTCCGCCTGAGCCCGGAAGAAGACATCCACCGAAGACTTAAGACCCTCGAGGAACACAAGTTGCCCGCATTCCCGGGCCGCAGTCAGGTTGACACCCTAAACAACATAGAAGACAGTGAATCACAGTGCCTTGCAGGGGAACCCACCCCATAGGCCAGACTCCAGCTCACAAAAGGGCACAGGACACATTCTAAGCCCTGCAAATGTGCACCTGTCCACCTTCGGATGGGGCCCATGCCTTCTTTCCACTGTGCGTTCCCAACCCACAATCCCCACTGTGCTCAGGTGTGCCTTTACGTTTAATTGTCACTTGGTAAAAAACTGATGTTTTGCTCACATATTCGTTTTCATGACGGCTCAATGGTTTTAATTTGCAATAGTATCAGGAAGTGTATCATCAACTTTTCTAAAAGTATGTATTTACAAAGTTAAGCACATTTAGAAATGGTAATAATGACAATAAAATGGTGGGAGAATGACCAAGGTCTGAAACACGCTGGCTGCAGAAGAAAGGGCCAGATGTTGGCTTCGAGTTTCACAAACCCTTTCGGGAACGCCTCAGTGGTACAAGACCTCAGAGCTGCTCTGAGGCTTTCAGGAACATAGCTCCGAGATCGGAACGGCCAGGCTGCCGGCCACACAGGGAGATCCAGGTTCTCCTTCTCTGCCCTCTTCCTCAGAGGCGGCACTCCCACGAGAGCTGCGGCAACATGAACTCTCAACGCACTAGTTCGGGGGTGGGCTAAGTTTCTCTGCGTAGGGCAGGACAGGCTTTGCAGGCCATAGTCTGTGCTGTCACTACTCAGCTCTGTAGAATGACAGCAACCACCCACGACTCATAAACAAACGGGCCAACCCCTGCTCTAGACCAGACTTTTTTTTTAACTTATTTTTTATTTATTTTTTTTTAAAGACTTTATTTATTCATTTGAGACACAGAAATACAGAGAGAGAGAGAAAGCATGAGCAGGGAGAGAGGCAGAGGGAGAAGCAGGCTCCCCGCTGAGCAGGGAGCCCGATGCGGGGCTCGATCCCAGGACCCTGGGATCATGACCTGAGCC